GTATATGTATATATTTACAGTATTATAATTTTTCTAGGCATTTCATTATATTTTCCCATTTGTTAACAAATATTTCGTGTTTGTTATATTGTTTTGCGGTCGATTTTTCTAGGTTAAAGGTCTGTTTTACTCTTTCAATGAATAAGTTTAAGTTCGGTTTAAAATTATTGAACCTCGCAATATATAATTCGTATTTCCCAAGTAGAATTAAGTGCTTCCACAGGGCTTGAAAGTTACTTTTGCCACCAGAATTAAAGATTACCTCTTTTTTACAAATATTGATATTTTCGGCACATATATTTATCCAAAATATTTTTAATTGTTGCCAGAATTTCTGGCTTTCTTCACATTCCCACAGCGTTCCAAGTGTTTTTTTCTTGTTTCTACTTTACGATTAAGTCCGATTAGTGTAGCACGAAGAAATCAATTGACTAACACCAATTAGAGCAGACGCTACATTCAAACTAGGTATTCGTGTCAATGATTTCGTTTTAAGGTTCATAAGTAGGGGGTTGTTCAAAGTGACGAGATCATTGCAGATAACAAAGGTCACAGACATGCCAGGCACGACTAACATAGTATAATGCGCGGTATGGATGAGGAGTTTGTGACTCATGTACGAAAAATTCAACCAGGTATGGGATCACATACCGTAAGTGAGTATGCTTAAAAAGTGAAACAATAAACAAAGGAACTCAAGGAATTCGAACCAAGATAGATTGCCGTATGTCAGTATGAGATTATTATTATTATTAATATCATTATTATTATTATTATTATAGATGTAATAAGTTTCATAAAAACGATAAACACGGTTTTAAGGATCTGTCACTTATATTTTTAGTTTTTCATTTGCACTGTATCATATCACTTCTTTCACTGAATCTGATGTATTTGTTGTGTATTACCTAATTCACGGAAATTTGAGTTTGCATTGTTAAATTTGTCATTAATTAAGCAATAAAAAAGTTTTCATCTTCTAACATCCCACGTGTTTTGCATAACACTTCATGGAGTGGTGTTTGTGGCGTATTTGTCTTGCTGTTGCAATTTCAATTAGTTAGGAGCAATTGTGCTAGTATGATGGTATTTTAATTCCATCATTATGAAGTTGCTTATACGTCCGAAGCTTTGAATTTCATTCAATTCCATTGTTTTAATGTAATATTCTTAGAAATTAGGTTATAGCTCACTTTTCTGAATTGCATTAATGTCAAATATCGTACAAAACCTTTATGTCATTAAGTTTATGAAACCATAAGATATGGCTCTGTGTTGTTCAATAGATAGAAGTGGTAATCAACCCAATTCCATACGGCATCCAATATTAACCAAATTTGTAGTTTGCGTATAGTATTTATCGTAATAATCGTTTAGTCTCATGTAAAAGTTGTCAGGGTATTTTAGAACCTACTGTTTTACATTCGTATATATCCTCCATAATTCTGATTCACATAGTAGTCGTGGTCTGCATTCACGATCATTATCATGTGAATAGTAATATTGAAGTGGGGAAATAGTATATACAAGTAATAACGTACCTCCAAAAAGAAAAAACGTTCCCGCTGCAATAAACCACGGTCTCTTGTGTATTCTTGTTGTACATAGTGCTAGAATATCGCCTAGGAACACTAAAATAAGTCCAAATATGACGGATACAATCGCCGATAGTCGAAGTGCTGAAATCAGAACAAAATATTGTATACAGCTTTCTTGAAATTATTTTTTATTATAATATTAAAGAAATGTTTTTTTTTTTTAAGTTGCATTCCCATTTTGTATGATCTGTAGAAAACCTCTCACCGTCTCCTATAAAAACAGTAAGGGTCTTACAGAAATGTAGTGTTGATTCAGACAGAAATGACAATTATGGTTGATTTGATTTAATGACTAGACACCACGGCCAGTATAGGCTGGCTTCAGTACCCAAATATTTTAGGATTTGTTGACAAACCAACTTAATTTATTATTTTTCACGGTAATCCCAATAATCAATGGGAGGTGTCCTGTATATAATACAGTCGGAATGCTATAGGTATTCTCCTAAATATTGAAAGGCTTATGTTTTCACTAATTTCACAAAACCGCAAATTTGGCCGAAAAATAATATTGATATTTATCAATTAAATATTACGGACGTTGAAACTAACCTGCCTAAAAACCCGTTATGTCACGTCTGTGAATATACTTTGCATTCGGCAAAACTTAATTGTCCACGTATTTCCTTTAATTTGTAGCCTTGTGGCTTAATTCATTTCATGTCCATTAGTGTGTATTTGTAATTAATAACAACGCATGGATAATAATTATTAATTGATTGATTGAGTTGAAAGACATTTAATATCGCATCAACGGGTGAATGAATGCGATTCAAGTCAGGCGTTCGAAAAAGTAACGGCTTTCTATAGTTACGTAGTTGTGTGGTCAAGTATATTACCACTAAGCATATACTTCAACATAGACTTGTAATATCACTTATGATTAATAATGTTGATGTGGGCTCTTTATAATAAACGCAAGGCCGTTGTTTGATATTACAGGGGTATAATGTGACGGAATTATGCCAATGGCTGAAGTGTAAATCAGAATGTAACGAGTACATTACGTATTATATCGCATGCGGTAAATGAAATACATACATTGGTACAAGTCAAGCAAATACCTGGACATTTTATTACTATTTTGAACAGTGTAATGGCTTTTGTTGAGACTAACACGCAATGATATTCTCATTACCAGTGACAGTCTTTCTATCCATACAATGGATGTCGATGTTTCTATGTGTGAGATTCCACCATCGTGGCATTCACATGACATAAAATTAATGAACTGCAACAGCTTTAAGAAATCCTCTCGTTGGATTGTTTATGTCAAATGTGACCCACTTTCAGTCGCCGTCACGTGCAACACGCGTTCGCAATTCGTGTAAACAAACAATATATTCCACACGCGTCGTATACGTCGCAGGGGACCCATTAGTCCAACACGACGCGGTGCATCGATTATGGCGCAATAAGATGTGATTCTCGTCACGGTGAATAGTTTGAAAGTAAAATGTAGATTCAATTCACTTGTAGATAAATTTGTTGAATTCGGTATTTTCTAAATTAATAATGATTTAAAGCGCCGTGTCATGTTTGATATGGGTCACATGCGACTTATAGAACGCGTGTAAAATTAATTGATACGCTGAATACAAACGCGTGCTAAGCGAAGATTGCAACTTTGTATTAGCTATGATTATAACATCAGTGACTCTTCGAATTGAAATTGCGAAGTCGTCGTATTTATGTATGCATGGCGCGCCATGTGGGTATTATATTTATGTCCAATCCTTATTTTACAGTTCTCAGTTGTTGTTTTTCAAATTCCTTGAACGCTGTCAAGTGTGAATGAAGCACTAATTGCCGCATTTTTTTGGACGAATGATATTTTTCACAAGAAAGTTGTCCCAATATCGAGTACCGAAAACAGAACACCCGACTTTCTAACACCATTATTGTATTGAAACACTCGCTAAACCATATGAATGTCGTTCTAGTGCATACAAAGTCACTACATAGCTATGCTTTCGTCCATGAACAGTGAGATCACATAGAACTACTACGTTAACATGAATAGGTTCGGCTTAGCTCATTGACAGTACCGTTCACTGTTCGAAATTATTGGGATAGTTTTTGGTATTCATTCATTTTGTCCTTGAGTCACCTTGACGTACAATACATTCATTATACTGTCAACTTTTGGAATAAATAGTACTAGTGTGAACTGAACGGCCTCGTCACTTGAATACAAAATAGGCGTGTATTTTTTTTATTTTTTTTGGGGGGGGGTAGTTTTCTTACGGAATCGCGGCCCTGTTTTATATGCTGTATGGTAGATGGTCAACAACATTTTTATATTTTCCGTTTCCTATTTTAGATTACTTTCATTCACTATACGATAATAAATGTATATGAGAAGATTTATAAATATGTTTGTATGGGTTTCGCATAAGAACAAATAATTTACCTAAATGTATTATATATACAAGTTAAGAAACATTCCAGGTATGCCACACCGACCTTTGCAGCCAGATAACATCACTACTTACCATACATTGTCAGTTTGTAATCGTAGCCCGGGGATCCCTTTTCTGGAATGTTTGTGAAGTTGAACGTTTTACATTCCATTCCTGTATAAGATGAATAAAAACAAAGAAAAACAAATATTATTCTGTCATGTCTTCTGTAAATAGTATTGCAGTACAGTTTCCATTATAATGTATTAATTACTGGTGTAATCTCACACAAGCACCTGCGGACCTTAACCAAGGTTCCCCCAAAGTCGCATTCGTGAGTGAATAAATCTCGGCCAGTGGAATAGGCCTTCCCATTGAGTCTGTGACACACTCACCCAGGGTAGAGGTCGACCCTTTTGATGTTCAGCCTAAGGTAGGATTTGAACTTGGGTCTACCGGCCACGAGTCTGATGCGACAACCACTATGCTACCAGTGACCAGTAATCACAGGTGTTTGTATAACGATTATATTGAAGCTAAATCTTCTAAATGTTTGTGATAAATGATGTTTTCAGAATCGGGGAATAGTAAGCGACGACACAGTCGCCCCACTGCGTCGTGTTCTATCGGTCCCACACTACAACACGTGTAAAATAGACTGACTGACTCACTCGAACGCGCGCTGTATGATGACTGTGGTGCTTTAATTAATAGGAACTCTTAAATAAATAGCAGAGCAAGTCCGGAGTTCCATAACACGGGCTAAGGTCGCTTGAAATGATTTAGAAACCTTGGAGAGACTTAAAGGGTCATTTGTCTGGGTCAAGGGTATTTTGTATTTACATGGAACGAAAGATTTGAGGAAATTGTAAAGAAAGAATTGTTTGGAAATAATCGTACCACTGACCTGTGGTGTTGAATGCATGTTTATGTTT